GGACTTTGTGGACACCCTCCATTATAGTGAGGTCACAGTAAACTAACGAGCATCTCCGGCGGTATTGATCCAAAAGGCTAATTTAGTTTGCCCAAACCAAAAGAATCGACTAGGGATCAAATACCTTTATCTCAAATCAGCTTTCGTATCCCTATAGTCAGCTACTGGGGCGTTATCGCAAAAGGCATTTGAGGCGAGGTGCAGACAAAACAATTAATTACAATCATTCAGCTACTCGTTCTAATTGAGTAGGCATGTATGCTAGTTGTGTAGGCTGACCCACAGCCACCCTGTCTTTGTTTGCAAGCAAGTACTTGACGTATTTTGAATTAGTATTGCATCGCTACATTTCCTAGCCACTTTTTTTACCATAAGGGAGCTCAAGGGTGTTCGTCTGAACTGAAGTAAACTTAGGAATCATCCCAAAAGGCACTTGAGTCGGGGTTGCAGGTACATCTTTCGTTTATTTAAATTTTCGTATAGATGTGTGTGTATGCAGAAACTGGAATCCCAGTTTGAGTTTTTTTTGTTAGCTGTACATTATTTTAGTACAAGAGGTGGGGATAAAGAAGCCTTTACCCGAGGTTAGTCACTTTTTCCCTCAGACGACTCGTCGTCCCTGTTGGTCCACTGGTTGAGCCAACAGGTCACCACAGGTATAATGAAATGTGTCCGGATGCTGATGGCACACAGCGCCATCCTGGCAGCCTTTCGCGAGACTGGGTCACCATAGGCCACCAGCATGGCCTCGCTGATGCGTTTCGGGCAGAAGGGGCTCACAAAGAGGTAACTATGTTCCCAGTGTCTAAAAGCGTAGTAGATGAGCAGAGGCCAGCGTTGACGGAACACCGTGATCTTCGTCTTTGGTGCCTTGTCAATCAGGCAGTTGAGGATGCTGTAGCAAGGACAGCCCTCAATCATGTAGGCCAGCAGACAAAAGAAGTGCATAAAACTCTCTGGCCGCATCTCCAGTGCCCGTAGGACCACAGAGGCCACGTCAAAGGGGATGTCCAGTTCGTAGTTGTGTCGCATGTCGTTGACCAGCGTGTTGGAACTGAAGAGATAGGCCAGAGTGTAACAGGCCTCCTCTCGTGTGCCCGTCGATTCGACAAGTAGACTTAGTAGCAGGGGCTCGAGCCAAACCTTAACACCGATCCAGAGGTTATGCCGCAGGCGAGCATCCTCGGAGGCGGTTGCGAGCACAAACAGAAGCTGCATCCGCGCGTTGCCAGCCGGCTTGAAAATATCATTCACAATTTCACGACCCATAATATGCAGGAAGGCATCTATCTCATCGGCTGTCTGCAAACACAACAAGCAGGTATCTTTGCGGGCACGCTCGAGCCAGTTTGTGAAGAGGGAGAGCACCACATAGTCTGCCTCGTAGAATTGGTTCGCCAACTCACTGAGGATGCTCTTTGCGGTGTTCTCCATGGTCACTCTAAATTGCTGGTCCTTATCGCCATCAGCATCCAGAGTCTTTACACCCGGTAGGGAGTCATCCGACTCCTCCTTCTTTTTAATATTCTTGATGTAATGCAGTTCGGGGGGCAGGGTGGAGAGATTTCGAAAGGCAAGCAGTCGCCTCAAGCAGGTATCCTTGAGGATTGTCACGGTGTATAGTTCGCGCATCTCATTCGTGTCATAGGAAATGAGGGGCACGTGGCAGTCATAGTCTTTTAGCTTGGCGGACAGAAGGGTAGAGCCGGGATACATGTACTTTAAATCCATCACATCCGGCTTTAACTGATTCCTCGGCGTGAATCGCTCCTTTTTTCGGAGCAAAAACTGACTAGTTTGCATCGTCACAGAAAGCTGGTCTCCGTAACTCTGAGTACTCATGGTATGAAAACTCTCCGCGTCATCAGCCTGTTTGTAGAAATTGGGTGACTCAGAGATGGTGGTGGTGGAAACTTCAGTCTTGGACCTTGAACTTGGTGGTATCAAGCGGAAACTCATTCTAGTCTCGATGGAGGGTGCATTCACCTCCAGGGTGTCCACCACACCGACATCCTCAAGCATGCATCCCAGCTGCCGTACTGTATCTCTGGCCCTACCATCAGAGATCTTTCGTTTAGTCTTTCCAATCAAGTGCTCTAACGTGCCGTCCTTTGTGGAATTACTGATCCGCTGAGAGGTGTGATGACCGAAGGCGCGTTTACGGTTAGTACTGCGGGCCTTTTCGCAGAGACTACACTCGATCGCTCTCATTGGCTGTCTATAAAAGCCGGCGCACGCTGGACATCTGCCGTAAGAGTAGAAGTAAGCACTGCGAACAAGCGGTGGCACTGGCAATGACTTGTCGGGGATTGTCTTCAGAAATCCCAGCCTTTTACCGCCTCTGCTGGTGGTCTTGCGTCCAAGAAGGCGCGATAGACGACGTGATTGTTTGGTTCTCGGCTCAGCCCCTCCGTGCTCCCCTGGTGGCGACCAGACGGGTATTTCTTCGTCGAGCCTGAGGTTTGCCAGGGGGTCTTTAAAGGTCGCCGGTAGAAACTCCAAGTCGGGATACTCTTGAGCTAGTTTTGGTGGAAAGCCGTGAGTTGTTGTGCGTGAGGGTAGATCCTCGATGGGGTTGACATTCATTTTAGCGTGCCATACAACTCTAATATCTGCCAGGGCTTCATTCTCTATCAGCGCCATAGCCGCTTTTGCTTTTTCCGCGGCTGACACATCGTCATTTTGAACAGTTGCTGCTTTTGGCGTCAGTGCAGGTAGTCTGGTCGCCATCTTTGCTTCCCGCCCACCAGGAAAGGCTTTTGTCGGCTCTTGGTGAATCCGCTTCGTCAACGCGGGCCAGCGCCACGCCTTGATAGGCGTGCGCGTTCGGTCCGCGCCAAATGTGATGACCTTGAGTAATCGATTTTCAATCCACTCTCCCGTTTCCCAGCACGTGGGCCCAATGTATAACCGGCCAGTCTGTAGCCCATGAACGGGCGTGTCCTGTGTTTCCGTCCGGCTCGCAAATGAATTTTTTAGCCCAAAGAAAATGTTGCTCGAGGTTTTTGTTCTAATATGCTCAAATTTTAAATTCGACGCTGGTTTATACAGTATGGCATACCCTTGCAACATCATCACTCCGGAATTCGACTTTCGAGGAACTAGGATTACGAAAACGTTCTCTTTAGAAAACTCGTACGACATGTGTCAGCATGATTTCGTTAGACGAGAATGCATCCACCCACCGAAAACCTAGCTGATCTGACATAAAAACAGGTACCGCTTGCAAAACAGGTTTTTAAGCACTCAACTTTAGGGTTCGCTTAATGGTTCGGGGTAAGTATAACGCTTAGGGATTATCAATAGCACTACGGATTGTTAGGTTTCAGGTGAGGGTAAGTGTAGAAATGAACAAAAATGCGAGTCGCAGGAACTAACTGAGA